GTAAGGAAAATACTGTGAAGGCTGCCAGAGAGCAAATGCAGATGACTTATGAAAAAAAATGAATAAAGATGTAAGAAAACCAGTACAGAGACTATTTCAAGAATATTAGATATTAAGAAAATTGGAAAGGGGGAGTGTATAATCAGCATATTATAAGTAAATTATATAGATTGTTAAGAGGAGCTAAGCGTCTTGGAAGAAAGGAAAAACTAGAACAAGAGAGATGGAGGTTGCGGAGGGGCAGTTCACACCCATGCAGTTGGCTGTTTGGGGTGGTCTCTCTAGAAGAGGGGATCTGAGCTGAACTGAAACACTGGAGTGGGCCCCCTCCTCGCAGATGTCTGGGGCCAGAGTGGTGGGACAGCAGTACAAGTCTCTGAGTTGAGAGAGCCTATAGTGAGGAGTGGCCAGGAGACCAGAGAGGCTGAGGGGAGAGTATCAGGAGATGGGGGTTGGAGAGATGACCTAGTGGCAGGCTCAGAACTTTCTGGAACACTTTCCTACTTGCGTCAGGTTTAGCAAGAGGATGGGGACGGTCCTGCAGAAGCTAGTCTAAAGTAGAGGAGAACCGTGCAGAGCCCTTGGGCAGGAGACCTTGAGCCCCCAGGGTCAGGACCCTTCCCTGACGGGCATTATTTCTGATCCAGGACTGAGAGGTGGGGTGAAGGAGAGTTCACGGCTGGGCAGAAGCCCATCAATCTCTCAAGGCTGCCTTCCAAGTCAAGGGTGATTAAATGACCCCAGTGACTTTATAGATTCTCCAAATTGTCTGACCCACCCTTCCTTTTAGATGAGGGCCATGTTGCAGGAGGGCACAAACACTGTGGGTTTCCAACCCATCTGAAACCTTAAATAATAATAAAAAACCCCCATAACATCCACCTTTTACTATTTCACCCTGTAGAAACAGAGGGGGGCTGTCTCTAGCCCCAGAGAATCTACCATCGCATGGTTAGATCTCGTGAGCTCTTCCCACAGGGGGCTGAAGAAGGGCCCGGTTCGCAGATGGAGGGTCCTGTGTGGTGTGGAGGGGCTTCACGTCTGCTGGAGGCTAAAGAATTTACAAGTGTATTCAGCATTCAAGGCGTATTTGGGGGCTGAGAATATTTGTATTGTGTGTATTTTCCCATCTTCTAAAGCCAGGAATGCCACAAATTTTGGTGGTAACCAATAACCACAGTGTGACAGATAATTTTTGTCTGGCAAAAAAAAAAAATGCAAAATCCACTGGATCAGAGTTGCCTGGTACAAGCTGGAGGGCTTGGCATAAGGCGATGTCTCTGCTGGGACAGCCCAAGTCACAGTTCACTATTCCCCTGGTAACTGTCATTCTCTTCCCATATTCTCATCAGTATCTAATAGACAGTTTTTCAATGAAATGAAGCACAAATCCTAGCAGGATTAATGTGAATATGTTGCCGTGTTTAGGTGGACCCTTAACTTTGCAAATGGAAGGCTTTTACAAATGTCATTCCCATCTTTAAGGTGCCTCCCCAGTTGCCAGACTCCATGTCATAAATCCAGAGATTCTTATGCAGGCAGATGGCGGCATGGATAGCTTTGCCTTAAGTCTGCACTAGGAGGGAACATCTCCAGCTTTCCTCTTGGGATCGTCAGGAGCAAAGCTCTCTCCCACTCTAGGCTCCTGCTCAGCAAGTCCAGTGCCCAGCCTGGAAACCAAGACTAGGCTGGCCAGTTCTGGGGTCAGGACTTACTGGTCAAGCTGTGGACTGTGACCAGCTTAGGTGCAGCAGTGTTTAACGATCCACAGGGAAGCTTCTCCAAGATGCTTCCACAGGCCCCACGGTTTTTGTTGTCGTTTTGAAAAGACTGGATTTTGGTATTAGTTTTTAGTTATACGTAACAGTACATTCTATCTTGATATATTTATGCAAGCACAGACTATATCTTACTCTAATGAGGGTCGCAGTCTTGTGGATGCACACGATGGTGAGATTCACTGTGGTCTATTCGTGTATGTTCACAGGAAACTTAAGTCAGATTCATTCTGCAGTCCTTCCTATTCCCATCACCTCTCCCTTCCCTCCGTTCCCCTTTGTCTGATCCAGTGAATGTCTACTCTTTCCCTCCAATCCCTTGACTGTGTGTTAGTATCCACATATCAGAGAAAACATTTGACCTTTAGGTTTTGGGGATTGGCTTTCATTATAGTCTTCAGATCTATCCATTTACCAGCAAATGTGGCTAAGTAATATTCCAGATATGTATTTCACATTTTCTTTATCCATCTATTGAAGGGATCTAGGTCTGTTCCATAACTCAGCTGCTATAAACATTGATGTGGCTGCTTATAGTAGCTGATTTCAATGAATATATATCAAGCAGTGGGATTACTGGTTCAAAGTTCCATTCCAGTTTTTTTGAGAAATCTTTATACTGCTTTCCACAGTGGTTGCACCAGCAATGTGTGAGTGTGTACCCTTTTCCCCCCACATACTCACCAACATTTATTGTTTCTTTTATTCTTTTTTTTTGAAGTATATTAAATTTTTATTAGGTTTTCACTCTTTATAGTTATTTACACTTCTGCATTTCTTTGCAGTTTGCAAATGTATTCACATACATCTAATCTTACTAGTTCTTTATTTCTAGTCTGTGAGGTGCTTCTCACCTTAATCCCTTAAAACATCTTTATGGAACATAGTCATCTCCATATCACAGATGAAAAAATGACAGAAAAGAGAGGTGAAGTGACTTGCCCAAGTTCCCAGAGCTTTTAAGCCATGGCTCAAACTTCAAATCCAGAGACCCTGCTGTGAGATCAGTCTGTGTCATTCCCACTGTGACGCTGCCAAACTCTTCATAATGACTTTCAGTTTCAGCCTTTATTCTTCCTTTTTTCAATCCACTCAAGAACCAAAACTTCTCGGATTTTGTCCTTCTTTGGTAACTTTTCTGAATAGCCTGTCTCAATCTTTTGAGAATTATCCTAAGCAGAAACAAGGGCGCCAACAATCTATTAGGTAGTTTATAGTTTTAAATACGTATCTTAGGAATTGGGCAGCACAGATCACCCCGTTCAAGTTAATTGTAGAGGAAGTGGTGGCTCTGAGAGAAGGGCTGTGAGTCAACTTTGACAGATTCCAAGCAGCTCGGCGCGGTATTTATTGTAAAGCAGGTCTTCGTGCATACCGCCAGGCAGGCTGAACTTGGCTTCATGGTCTGGAGTCCCAGGTTGTGGAAATGACAGGCAGGATTACACCGGGCCACGTTTTGAGGCTTTCTGGTCCCATTTCTGGCCTCTTGTCCTTGACATGACCTCAGTAAATGACAAAGACTCACCACCCCACAGCAGGTTTGGGTTGGCCCGCCGCAGGTTGGGTAAACATGGATCCCTCTGGGCACCTTCCCTAGCTAGGGGCTCTCTGCCATCACTTCTTGTTCAGGTCTGCCAGGTCTACCCTTTTCTGGTTCCTTAGGTGACAGGGACACATTCAGCTGGTGTCTGGGTTTTGAGCATCTCCCTTTACCTTTCTTTTGCAGTTTTCCATGGTTCCTATTCTACCTCTGCTCCTGATCCATTCCTGACCTGCGTGTTTTATTTCTGTGAAGATTTTGTTTGGCTGAAGCTATGTCCACCAGCCACAAGTCAATGCTGGCTTTACCCTTCTCCAAAGCTCCTACTCTTCGTCCACCACCCTAACATGGCAACTGGGTAGCCTGTAGGACAGCCCCATCTTTCTCTGGCTCTGCCTGCCTTACATCCATTACTTGTGTTCTTGATGGTTGCCTTTCTGATGGGAGTGAGATGGAACCTCAGTGTAGTTTTAGCTTGCATTTCTCTAATTGCTAGAGAAGTTGAACATTCTTCATATACTTGTTGATCCTTTGCATTTCTTCTTCTGAGAAGCGCTATCCAATTCTTTGCCCGTTTATTGATGGGGTTATTGGAGGTTTCTCTGTTAAGCTTTTTGAGTTCTTTGTGTATCCTGGAAATGAACATTTTATTGGAGGTGTGGGTGGCAAAGATTTTCTCCCATTCTGTAGGCTGTCTCTTAGCATCCTTGATTGTTTCCTTTGCTGTGGAAAAGCGTTTTAGTTTGATGCCATCCCATTTATTGATTCTTGATTTCACTTCTTGGGCTTTGGGAGTCTTTTAAGGGAGACTTCCAAGAAGTCAGTTCCCCAGCTGACATGTTGAAGGGTTGGGCCTACATTTTCTTCTAGTAGGTGTAGGATTTCTGGTCTAATAGTTTTATCATCATTTTAACCAGAATGTTTTTCAAACTCTTCAGAGGACATGGATCCGTCCCCGTCATCGTTTGAATGTGGTTTGTTCCCCAATGGTTCACGTGTTGGGAGTTGAGGTGGTAGATCTTTTAAGAGGTGGGGCCTGATGGGACTTCTTCAGGTCGTAGGGAGCGTATGTACCCTGGACGGAAGCAGGCAATTCTCCTGGCTCCTGAGTGAGTTCTGAGACAGTGTTATAGAAAGAGCAAGCCCAGCATCTCCCTTCAACCTAGTCTCCTGTCTTGCCATGAGACCTCTCCCTCCTGTACTCACTCTTATTATTGTGATGTCACTCACCACGGTGTTGTCATCTGTTATGCGGTGCTCACCAGAGCCAAGAGGATGTGGTAGGCTCTGTGCTCTTGAACCCTTAAAGCTAAATCAGCCCAACCTCAGGTGTTTGGCTATAGTGATGGAAAACAGACTGATACAAAGCACTTCACAGAAAACTGGGAATGTGCCCTTGTGCACAGGAACCTTGGAAGAGTGACATTGACTCTCCCAAGGAAAGGACTGTTTTTAGTAGTAGCAGAGCCCGCTGACCAGTTCAGGCTTTAGGAAGATAGAAATGCATTTTTAGAGTTGCTCAGCCTCAGTTTCTCCTTCTGCGAGGGAGAGATCTGTGTTGGTGGCCAGGGCTGGGAGGACCTCAGTGCACTTGAAGGTCCAGCCTGAGGGTGGACTGCAACTGCCCCAGCAGGCTGCATACTGACCTTTCAACCCATTGTCTCTCCAACCTCCTGTTCCAGCTGCCCACCCCTCAGCCCAGGCCCAGGACCGACCTACGGCCACCGTGTCACCCCTGCGCACTCAGAGCTCTCCATCCCGCCTGCCCGCCACCAGCCTCAGGCCCCGCACGGTGGTGTCCCCACAGCACAGCCAGCAGCCCCCGATGCAGATGTGCCCTCGGCCAGCCATCCCCCTCTCATCAGCAGCATCAGCCATCACACCTCCCAACGTTAGCGCCGCCCACCTCAACGGGGAGGCAGGGGGAGGGCCCATCTGTGGCCTGTCCACGTCCAGCCCTACCAACACAGGATGCAAGCCAGATGACAAGAAAAATGAGAAGGTAAGTGGTCCTTCCTGAGCCAGCCCTGGGCCTGACCAGCTGGTTATCGGAGCCCTTTGCCCTGGATGCCAGCGGCACCTTGGACAATTGAGGCTTGAGTGTGTGCCCAGGTTCTTGCCCATGGATGCACCAGACATGTGACAGAGGGAGTCCGAACCAGGAGAGCAGCTGGCTGGAGTGGAATCTGGCCTTCTGGCAGGGCCAACACAAGCTATCTACAGTTTCACACAAATCAGAAAATGATGTCTCCCTACTCGCTGTCATTTGTTCCTTAGTTTCTTCTGCTGAAAAATAAGTTTCATATATCCATCTCGTTAGAACAAGATACTTATTTTCATGCGCTGGGATGATATAGTAATAAGTATATAAATCTGCATGTATGCAGTGTGAACAGCACCCCCACCCTTTCATTCTTGTGTAGTCCACAACCTGTTCAACCATATGGGCCAGGCCTAAAGGAGAAGGAGAAATGAGAAAGACAAGATGATGGCAACCTGATATTTGACGTGGACAGAATTTTCAGCTATTTTTTTTTTAGCCACAAAGAAAGCTGAATTGATTTCATAAAATCTGAATGCATTGGACCTTGTGGCCAGCCAGCTAGACCCTGGACTGGCCAGGATTAGAATCCACATTTCTAAATCAGTGCTGTTCAGCAGAAATAATATAAGTTACCAATAAAATTAACAATTGTCTAGTAGCCGTGCTTTTGAAAAGTAAAATTGATTTAAAATAAAATTAAAAAGTGAAATTCATCTGGTAGCATAGTCTATAAAACATAGTTCTCAAAATATTTTTGTTCCAACATATAATCTACATTAAAAAAAAAAACTATTGATGAGATATTTTACTCTTTTTTTTTTTCCACATTAAGTTTTTGAAAGCCCGTGTGAAACCCCGTGAGCCGTCTGCAGGGCTCAGGGCCACCTGCTGCTGTGGCGGTATTGGACAGCAGGTCCAGCTGTTGGCGGGGACCACTCTGTTTATTCTCCATGTGTGAACAGCTCTTCGTTCTCTCTTGATCACCCCACATTCTCTGAAAGCCTTTCCACGTAAAGTCAGTCTTTGAGTGAGGGCGTGTTGGCGTGTTTGCACACGCACCCAGGATATCAGATGGTGTGTTAGAAGTGAGGACAGCCCCCACCTCTCTCCCAGGGACATTACAGAACTCAGCATTGACTCTCTGACCCTCTGCCCATGTTCCTGGAGGCAGACCTCAGCAGGAACCCGGGGGAGCTGTGCAGATGGACCACCCCGCACTCCAAAGGCCTCAGCATCTCCCATCTCCTCGGGCCCAGAACTGTGTCACTCCCATGCCGAGTGGTTGGAAGAGGCCTCGTTATGACCAACCCAGGCCACGCTCCCAGCTGGTAAAGCTCACACCTACTTGAGACTACAGGCACTCAACATGAAGTGACATGATTGCTGTGTGTTTTGTGCCCATATCTGTTTGAAAACCAGTTCCCTTCCTCCTTACAGCCCTGTGTTGAGGTGCAGCTGGGTGTCGCTGGGAGACAGAGGTGGCGGGTGCAGTCTTGCCCTTTCATTGGACAGCTTCCCAAAGAGGCAGTCTTCTGGCCTTCGGAGCTGCTGAGGAAAAGAACCAGGGAACAGGGGCCAGTCTTAGGAAGACAGGGGTCATAAGAGTTCTGTAAACATTGCTGCTTCTTTGCCTTGGGATTCCCTCTATTCATGAAACAGGTCAGCCTGGCTTCAATGGGGCTGTTACCGAGTGGGTTTCTGTGGCACAGGGTCGGGCTTGCAGATACCTACACAGAGGTGACAAGTTCACCGCAGTGGCCCTCCTGAGTGTACAGCTAGTGGAAGTCAGCCAGGACCACTGCCAACATGCCTGGGGACGCTTGGCAGGTTTCTGCTTCCACTCTACCTTCTGCCAACCCTCCTCCCACTTCAGCAAGGAGCAGCTGAGTCCAGGAGGTACCCAAAGTGTCCCCCAAAACGAGGCTCCTGGGTAACCCTGCACGTGATGTGGCACCCTCTTCCTTTGGTAGTCCCCAAGCCACCTCTGGCAGCAGAAATGCCCAGGCCATCACTCAGGACAACATGGGGAGCAGGCCAAGGCGTGCCCCAGGCAGGAGGTCGCCTGGGCTGTGTGAGGCCAGCTGAGCACCGGCTCAGAGGCTCAGCAACCCCAGAAGTGAATGGTTCTCCCCAAAAGAGGTGCACTTTTCCTTTCTCACCTCTCAGACAAGCAGAAATCACACTGGTCAACAAGATCACCTGTTAATGTCTGTCCCTGTCTGTATTTCCTGGTGAATTTTTTCTATTTTACAGCAAGGCACAAAATTGGTAGCAAAAATCTGTGGCCGTTGGTGGTTGAAATTCTATTCATTAATCAGGAGCAAATGACCCAGTGGTGCAGGCCCAGGCGAGGAGCCAGGTTCTGAGCCAGGCATGACTTGAAGCAGCCCCCTGTCCTCCCGTGACTACATCTGGACAGACTTTGGGCACCTACTGGTCGGTTTCACATCTTTGTTGGTGGTTCATTTTAGACATGCAGGTACCAAATTACGATGAAAGGACTTTCAAAATGTATTTGGTGGTGTTCTCCAGGCTGTTTCTCTCTCTCTCTCTCTCTCTCTCTCTCTCTCATTACTAGGCTGTTTCTCTTGATAAACTTTCTTTAGGAAAAGACAGTGGGCTCCCAGCTCTGCTGTTCACTGAGCCAGACCTCAGTGCCAGTGTGGAATTCCATAACACCAAGCCCAGCTGGAATTCCATCCAGGTGCTTCTAAGCATGCGCATGAGAGAAACCTATGATTGTGGGGGCCCTGGACACGAGGGTGAGGAAACTGGTAGTCTTCTAGGAGCATGGTGGGCTGATTCTCCGGCATCCCTGGTGTGCAGGGCAGGAGGCCCCAGACCCAGCTGTATGTTGGTGGTGTTCTTGGCTGTGGTAGAGGTTCTTGGAGGCTGGTCCTGGGAGGCCAACATTCTGCTGTTATACACCTGGGGACTGGCCCTTCAGCCCTGCTGAGCCTATGTGTTACGGCGTCCTTCAAGACAATGCACGTGCTGTCGGGTGGCGATTCTCTCTGTAGTCTTAGTCCAGGTCCAGAGCTCTCCTTTGGGACCTGGACATCTACCATCGCTGCAGGAACCTCTGCATGCTCTTGTCCAGGTGCCCACCCACCTGCTCTCACGGCTCCCTGAGGGCTGCACTGTGACCGGGCCACCAGCGCTTCCTTTCTAGAGAGCTTCCTGCTTCCCCAGCAGTACACAGGTCACCAGGGGCCTGCCATCCACTGGAGACCAAGCCTGCAACTGTGCCGCGGTGGAGACTGGATCCGAATGGGGTTAGGATGGAGACAGTTCTGATCGCTGTCTGATGATCTGATTAGCGTTCTCCAAAGCACTAGGGACCCCTCCAAGATCCAGGTTCGTTTGGGTTGACCAGGAGTCTGTTCTGCTTGGAGATGGGTCTGCTCGGGGGGGTCCTGGGTGGCCTCAGAGGGACATTTCTGAAGCTGCCAATCTGGATCGGACCCTGGAGTCACTGTTGAGTGTGGGGTACCTCGGGGCTGTCTAGATTCCTTTCTATCCCCAGATTAGGGAGGTTGGAGGCACTCTAGGGCAGGGGGAAGACCCCAGAGTGTGGAGACCTGGTGTGGGGTCATGGTCTGCAGAGGTCGCAGCAGGTGGCCTCATTGGTGGTCTCCCCATCAAGGGTCTTGGTGCTTTAAAGAAGGGTCTGGATAAAGCTTTTGGAATAATTATGTGGTACCCACAAAACACAGAGTGGGAACCAAATCTGGTAAGACTTTTAAGAGGCTATATAGGATACAAGTTACTCTTTTACCCTTAAAAATCAAATTTAATGCTCAAAACAACCATCAGATACCACCTTTTGGGTCCACTGGTGATAGTTTCCTGGTTTTGAGCCCCGCCGACACGTCAGCACCCGATGGATGGCTCGTCCCTCAGGGGACGTCCAGGGGAAAGTCAGGCGAAGAGAAGGGTGCCTGTCCCCCTCTGGGGCCTCAGCCGGGTCCCTGACCCCCAGTCAGAGGCCCTTCACACTCATGTGTGCACTGCAGGGAACCTGCACCCGCCAGGCAGAGCGCAGGGCACTGGGGCTCACAGTGATGGAAGGCACAGCCCTGGCCCCGAGGGAGGCAGAGCCCCGTCCAGGTAACTGTTGAGGTAACTGTGAACAGCCCACTGCAGGAGAGTGCCGCAGGCCTAAGAACAGGGACAAAGGGTCAGCAAGAAGACGCATGGTCAGCAGGGCACAGGGAGGTCTTCCCAGGGGACAAGTGGGAGACCCTCTCTGCTGAGGGACAGCCTGACCAGAGGCCAGAGGATGCAGCCTAAGGTGGGGGCCCATGGGCAGGTGGCAGGAGCAAGGCACCTCCACTGCTCAGCCCTTGGCTCTGTCTGGGGTTGGGCAGGAGGATGGGATTCAAGCCCCATCAGAGGACATGGGTCAGGAGCCTGGCCTGGTCTGACCGGAGCCCCTGGCCGTGTTCCTCTTACAGCAGCTGAGCCCCGTTCTGAGAGAGCTCCCCCGCTAAGCACCTAATGTTTATGTAACTGTCTCCTGGGTGTCGGGGTTCCTATGAGGTGATCGCTGCAGCAGCCCCCTCAAACCATCCAGCCAGGCTCACGAGACACCCCGGTGATCCCAGAGACTCAGGAGGCTGAGGCAGGAAGATGGAGAGTTCAAAGCCCGTCTCAGCAACTTAGAGAGGCCCTAAACAACTTAGTGAGCCCCGGACTCAAAATAAAAAATAAAATAGACTGGGGAAGTGGCTTAGTGGTTAAGTGCTCCTGGGTTCAATCTGTGATACAAAATAAAAAAAGAAAAAGAAAAGAAAAGAAAGAGCCCCGTCTAGTAGATTTAGCCCAATGCTTTCAATTTCGTTTGGATAGCATGGATCGAGTGCAGTAGGCTGGAATGGATCGGCACACATACTGCACACAGGAGGTGCCAGTGTACTGGGGAGAGGTCATCACCGATGCTATCATGTGTGCTGAAC